GGAGCAGGAGAAGGTGAGGGAGAAGCAGGCTCCCCGCCGAGCAGGGAGCCCGATGCGGGGCCCGATCCCAGGACCCCGGGATCATGACCTGAGCTGAAGGCAGACGCCCAACCAACTGAGCCACCCAGGCGCCCCTGATTTAATTCTTCAAAGAGCCCTATAAGATAGGAATTATTATTAGCCTCCAATTACCAGTATGGAAACATATTAACCGTCATATGTCCATGGGGTCAGTAGTAGTAAGTGGCACCCTTAACCACTATCATTTGTAAAAGCGAACAAAGTCAACATTAAAGTTATAAATGAATCAAATATTTATGGAACCTTTCTAGACACATTTTATAATATAATGAAAAAGGCAAATATGTCTCAAAATGTGTTGAAAGCATTGAAAATCATCCATTACTTCAGAAGCTATAAGGCAAAGTACATATTTGGATGCTTACTATTCTAGCTCTGTACCAGCATTATTCCCTCCTGAGTAGCACAGTTAAGAACATCAGCTGGCCAAACAGAGCCTACGCTTACCGATTTCCTGCCGAGTGCTACACACTCCAACTCCATACTCCTCTAGGACTTTGGCAGCTGCTTCTTGACATGATCCTGTATTCCGTGCAAAGCCGAGATAGTTGTAGGAACCCATGTTTATCACGCCTTTAATTATATTCCCTGTGTACCTGTGTTTCAATAGCATAAAAGTTCATGAAACTCATGAGCAAATCAAATACTTACATGTGATAATAAACATATTGGTAGTACAAAAGGAAGCACAATATACAGGAAATAAGGAGAATATGGCCTAGGTGAAAAGCAGCTCAAACTCACTACCAATTAAGAAAATGAAAGTTGAAACAAAATACTAATTTTCACTTACCAATAATGATAAAGATTTAAAAACTGACCATATCCAGTGCTGGCCAGGACAGTCTCATATACTGTAGATAAGAATATCAGTCAGTACTTTTTTTTTTTTGGAGGGCAGTTTGGCAGCACTTACCCATTTAAAAGATAAACATACTTTTTGACTCAGCAATCTCCACACACATATGAAAAAATATATGCATAAAGATCCTTTAAGAGTCACTACACAATGGGGTACCTGGGTGGCTCAGTTGGTTGAGCATCCAACTCTTGGTTTTGGCTCAGGTCATGACCTCAGGGTGGTGGGATAGGGCCCCGAGTTGGGCTCTGTGCTCCGCAGGGAGTCTGTTTGAGATCCTCTCCTTCTCCCTCTGTCCCTCCACCCCTCTGCGCACTCTCTCTCTAAAATAAGTAAAATCAAATCTTAAAAAAAAAAAAAGAGTCACTACACAATTTTACTTACTACACTGGCACACAGACCAGTGACATTCCACATGTGGAAGCTCAGTCAGCCTGGGCCCACAAGTGACAACAACATGGTTCAGAGGCTCCACCAACCTAAGGCGGACACGAAGTGTGGACACGAAATAAACCATTGCTACTTGAACTCTGAGATTTTGGGGTTTTTTTGGGGTTTCAAAGGATGATGTGACCCAACCTCTATATACTATATACGGCTATACTTCAGGATACTCAGTAGCCACTACTAATAATGAATTCGCTGTGATACAGAAAAGCAGGATATTACCAGCATGTTAGCAAGTAAAAAAGCAAGACATAAAATGATTTCTATAGTATGATTCCATTTTTATAAATCAAAAACTACCTGTATGTCACCCCATGGATTCACTACATACATGCCCCACAGAAAACATCTGGAGGAATCATATACAACAAACTGGTAACAATGGTCACCTCTGGGGAGTGAAGACTTGTGAAGAAGTGGGTTTGCAGAAGGGATAGTGGTTAGTTGTCATGGGAGAACATTTCATTTATCTGTATTATTTGTCTTTTTTTTTTTTTAAATAATAACAATGCAACCATGTAATACTTGTGCTATCTAAATAATAAAATTTTATGAATATGAAAAGTTTTCTAAACTATTCAATCTATTTAAGTAAAAGCATTCCATATGTCCTTGAATCATGTGAGAAATCAAAATATCCAGAAGTAAATTCAGACACTTGATTCTGGTAAGTGGCGTAACAGGACAGTTTTTCTTTGTTTTTTTGTTTGTTTTTCTTTTTAATTAAGTCGAGTTTTGTTTTCAATTATAATCCAACACAGTATCAAATGTAATAGAAAAATGCATTTTAAAAACCTGGATAACAAAAAAGATCTGGATAACAATGAACAATATGCAAGGAAAGTAATTATGTTGTACTGTACTCTCGGCTTCTACTCTTGTTTTAACAGATTACTCAATTTGCAATAGAATGTATTCTGAAGCGAAGAAATTCTTTTTTTCTTGCTGTCAAGAAATAATTTCCCAACTGAGACTCACTTGAAGGACCAGTTGTAATCATGAGACTGCCTCTCCATGATGTCCACCCTGGCTCCAGGCACACTGCAGATCGGTCGATTCCAGTTGTCTCTAATCCTCATGTAGAGGTTCCTTGTATAGAAGTTTTCGAAATCCTGATACAATGACACAAAGTCCTGCCAACAGATGGTGAAATACCATGAATTTAACTGAATTACTTCAGAAAATTCTTACAACTTCCCTTTCCATGTTGCAAAAGTGCTTGAAAATGAGAGGCCAATTATACTGAATTAACTGATAAGGAAAACATTTGGAAAGGCACCAATTCTCTACCTTAAACCAACTTTAAAACAACTCTTGGAGCATCTGGCTGGCTCAATCAGTAAGAGCATGCAACTCTTTCTTTTTTCTTTTTTTTAAAGTTTATTTATTTATTTGACAGACAGAGCGAGAGAGCAC